TTTTAAAACAAATTAAAACCACTGAACCAATTAGTAATATATAAATGTTAATTAAAAAATGCTGGAACCAATTTTATAATTATAGAAATGCTATTAATCCTAAAATAGGCTAAAATTGCAATTGTATGTATTTTGGCTTTTAAAATACCAAATAAAATTGTAAAAATATACAAAAATCACCTTAACTATATTTTGGACAATAAATTGATTTTAAAAATCTTTAAAATTTATGAAAAATACCGAAACACTTGGGCATGCTTATATATGCATATATATGTTATTTTGAAAGTATTTTGTATATGAAAAAAAATACGTAGGGAAAAATTGGGTATCAACAATTACAACAGAGAGAAAACATCACAGAAGAATACAACTCGACACAGAAATGGCAACCGGGGATCTACCAGGATATCGTCCTATAGCCCCCAAATGTAAATATCCAACAACCGGAGATCTACCAGGATACCGTCCTGTAGCCCCCAAAAGTAAATGTCCAGTGGATCTCCCGGGTGTCCCGTAGTCCAACTAATAGTGCGCCGGGGATCTACCAGAATCTCGATCCATAGTCCCCAAATGTAAATGTGCAGGGGGGATCTACCGGAATACCGCATCCGTAGTCCCAAATAAACAAGCAAGGTGGATCTACCGGGAACCGCCCGTAGTCCCAATGTAAACACGCAGCAACAACACAAGAATAATCAACTCAATTCAATTTAATATCAAAATAGACAAGTAATTCTAATCTAGCATGCTACACAGGGTTCGGATAAGGCAATTTAAGCAAGTAGACAATTTAGTCATTTAGGCATGCTTTCCAAGGCTAACAGTGAGCTCAAAGTTCAATTAGTGTAATCAGCAAAGTAAAATACGAAATATAGATACTTAAATGGAAAACAGGATTTTCAACAATCAGCACAAGTACGCGTACGTCACCTCACGTACCAGGCATTTTAGATATCACAGTACCAAATCCTAAGGGGAGTTCTCCCACACAAGGTTAGACAAGCCAGTTACCTCGAACTAGCTCAATCAAATCTATACCACGTTCTTGCAACGAGTATTCGACTCCAAATGGCCCAAATATATTCAAAGTAATTGCATAATGTAAATAAGACTTCAAGTAACTACTTCAACTAATTAATTCTGAGCTAATACACAAAATTAGGAAAAATGACCAAACCCCCCCCCCCCCCCGGGCCTACGTCTCGGAATCGGGTAAAATTTACATCAATGGAATCCTTATCCTCCCACGAGTTCATGCATATCAAATTTACCGAAATCCAACCACAAGTGACCCCTGAAACCCCTAAGTTTTGGTCTCCAATTACAAGCCCTAGTTCTTCAATTTCAACCACTAATTATTCATCAATTACAAGCATAATCCATGAAATAACACCATAGGAATCGATTTTTATGTTCAAAAATCTTACCTCAATGAAGTTCCCTTGAATTCTCTCTTCAAAATCTCCCAAAAAGCTCCAAAGCCGTCTTAAAAATGGTGAAATAACCAAAGATTCGCGAAGGAAACCTTTTATATTTTCTGACCCAGGTTTTTCGCACCTGCGGTCAATTTCCGCTTCTGCGGTCAAGGGCACCGCTTCTGCGGTTTTAACTTAAGTCCCCTCCTCCGCACGTGCAACCCAGACTCTGCATCTGCGATTTGCAGCATACCTCCCGCTTCTGCGTCTTCTGCTGCCTTCACCTGTGGCCGCATCTGCGGCTTGATCTCGCTTTTGCATTCATCGCACCTGCGGCCCCCTAACCGCAGGTGCAGTTATGACAGAAAAACTCAGCAGCTTCAGCTGCAAATTCCCAACCAAATAACATCGGATTCAAGCCTAAGGTTCCAAGAATCTTCCGAATTCCGCTTTTGATCAAAAAGTCTATCAAATCTCATCCGAATGACCTGAAATTCTGTACACGCGTCGAAAATAACACAACGGACCTACTCTAACTTCCGGAATTCCATTCCGACCTCGATATTATCTCACTATCGAACCGGAAACTTCAAAAATTCAACTTTCGGCATTTCAAGCCTAAATAAGTTACGGACCTCCAAAACACAATTCGAACACGCTCCTAAACACGAAATCACCCAATGGAGCTAACGGGACCAACGGAATTCCATTCCGAGGCCGTCTTTACACTGCTCCGACTACTGTCCAAATTCTAAAACTTAAGCTCTCTTTTAGGGACTAAGTGTCCCAAAACTCTCCGAAACTCCAAATAAATCCTCCCGGTAACTCACAATAGCAGAAACAAACACGGGGAAAGCAGTTAATAGGGGGTCGGGGCGTTAATTCTTAAAACAACCAGCCGGGTCGTTACATCCTCCCACACTTAAACATTCGTTCATCCTCGAACTAGCATAGAGACATACCTGAAGTAGTGAAAAGATGAGGGTAGCGGCTGCGCATATCCTGCTCGGTCTCCCAAGTCGCCTCCTCGAACGGCTGACCCCGCCACTAAACCTTCACTAATGCAATGTTCTTTGACCTCCGCTTTCAAATATGCCTCTCCAATATAGCCACTAGCTCCTCAACATAAGATGGATCCTTGTCCAACTGGACTGAACTGAAATCCAACACGTGCGACAGATCACTGTGATACCTCCGGAGCATCGAAACAGAACTGCCGGATGAACTCCTGCCAAGCTGGGAGGTAAGGCAAGCTCATAAGCAACCTCCCCAACATGCCACAATATCTCAAAAGGGCCAATAAACGTCGGACTCAATTTCCCTTTTTTCCCAAATCTATAACGCCCTTCATAGGCGAAACCCGCAGCAAAACCCGCTCTCCAACCATATAGGAAACATCAAGAACCTTCCGGTCCGCATAACTCTTCCGTCTGGACAGGGATGTACGGCGTCTATCCTGAATTACCTTGACTTTCTCCAAAGCATCCTATACCAAGTCTGTGCCCAATAATCTAGCCTCGCCCGGCTCGAACCAACCCACCGAGGATCTACACAGCCTACCATAAAAGGCCTCATACGGTGCCATCTGAATGCTGGACTGATAGCTGTTGTTGTAAGCAAACTCTGCCAGTGGCAAGAACTGATCCCAAGAACCTCCAAACTCCATCACACACGCACGGAGCATATCCTCAAGAATCTGAATAGTGCGCTCGGACTGTCCGTCCGTCTGGGGGTGAAATGCTGTGCTCAACTCCACCCGAGTGCCCAACTCATGCTGTACGGCCCTCCAGAATCGTGATGTGAACTGAGTACCTCTATCTGAAATAATAGAAGCTGGAATACCATGCAGACTGACAATCTTCCGGATATAAATCTCCGCCAACCGCTCTGAAGAATAGGTAGTACACACGGGAATGAAGTGCACGGACTTGGTCAGCCGATCCACAATCACCCAAGTGGCATCAAACTTCCTCGAAGTCCTGGGAGCCCAACTACGAAGTCCATGGTGATCCGCTCCCACTTCCAATCCGGAATCTCTATCTGCTGAAGCAATCCACCCGGTCTCTGGTGCTCATACTTTACCTGCTGACAATTGAGGCACCGAGCTACAAACCCAACTATATCCTTCTTCATCCGGACGTTGACTTATGTGTTAGAGGGCTCAGATGTGAGTTTCGATGGTTCAGTTAGCTTCGGTCTGCGATACAACGTAGGAACCGGTTTTGCAGGCGAGCAGGTTACGGGTTAGGACTTCCTTCTCTTCCAGTGCTATTGGTGAGCTCCACTTTTGTTCGTGGAGTATTCCTTAGAGTCATCTTTATTTAGTTATTTCTTTGTTTGCTTAGAGAACTGGCCAGGAAATCTCATGTCCTGAGCAGTGCGTCAGTTTATCAGTAGAGGCTTCATAGACATAGTCGTTGGGTTAAGATTCAGATGTTTTTGATAATAACTTAGCAGTAATTCAGTAGTTACTACGACTAAAATTTTGGAGTTGATTTATTTAAATTTTTAAATTAATCAAAAGTATTTGGTTAGAGTATTGCCTTGTTGCATATAAAGTTTGAAGTTATAATAGATTTGATAAGCATAGATGGTTCGCTTGGTCATGTTTAGTGATCAAGTGCCGGTCTCGGCTTGTTCAGAAATGGGTCGTGACACTTGGTTTATTTGAGACGTGAACTAGAAAAGAGTCCTATTACTTTAAAATTCCAATCGTGGAGTTTGTTACTAGTGCAACATTTTTATTAAGCTCCAAACCGAAGTTAAAGATTGCTAATTAGGTTATTTAGATATCTCTAAAACTTGGTGCTTCTAACTTTTGGTTGTATTATAAACTGCGTGTACCATTTTTTTTTTCCGAACTTGCTACGTATTATTTAGCGAATTACCTTAAAATTCCAATCCTGGAGTTTGACTCTATGCAGCTGAATTTGGTGATGATTTGTCAATACGTCTTGAATAATCAGCTTAATTGCTTGTATTTCATTTTCAATTTAATTAATACGGACCCTAAAGGGTCAAGCGTGCGATTTAATATGCGCACTGGACTGAGCTTCGCGCGGGTCAAACCACGAGAGTCTTTATGCGGACTGGACTAAGCTTCGCGCGGGGTCAAAACCACAAGAGTCTATTGTTCGCAGCCTTACCCTGCATTTCTACAAGAGGTTATTTTCCACAGCTCGACCCGTGACCTCCTGGTCACACGGCAACAACTTTACCAGTTACGTCGAGGCTCCGTGTGAGATTAATATTGACCCTAAAGGGTCAAGGAGTTAGATTGAAGTTTGAGCGTCTCCTTCAACTCTTTTCAGATAATTTAACATAACTGTCTTTAATCTTCACCCGTTGTCAATTATCTTTGACGAAATGATGCAACTCTAAACCCAGTACTGGTTGCCAGACTTTGCTGATGAGGAACAAAGCAAAAGAATAACTCAGTTCAATTCTGAACCCATAACAGCTGAGGACAGTCGTAGCTCATAGGTCATAATACATCTGATCACCGTCGCCAATACACAGAGGAAGCATTAGCTGCTTAGAAGCATCATGCGTCAAGTAAACGAAATCATTTCGCTAAAGCTATACTTGCAACATGATTCCATTAAAGGTTTAAGAAACAAGAATTGGCGCGGTCCTATTCATCGGACAATAGAACAGAGGCAAGAAAGAGTTACTCATAACTAGAAAACGTTTTTATAAACTTCATAGCATAGACAAACAAAAAGAAAATAAAGCTACAATGTCAGTTTTCCTTCAACGAACAAAGCTGTTGCCCAACAAAATTCCCCAACTCAGCAATGAGATGTCTGAATTTCCTAGGAGATATGTGAATTTCTCTAGGCCTCTCTGCGAACAAAGTAAAGCTTACCCATGACATGAAGGATGGCAACAAAAGCTATGAAGCCAATACTCATCACAAGCACAACGTTGGGGGATATCTTGAGTCCGGGGGAATCATCAGTGTAGAATTGGAGCATGTTACCACCTGCTCCTCCTGCAGCTCCACCACCACCAGCGGCCTTCCTTCGACGCAGGTTAGCAGCAGCTGCTGCAGCAGTCCCTCTTTGTGGTCCACCTCCACCCAAAGCCATTTCTAATCACAGTTTCAAAATACTAAAAAATTTTAGTACAACGATTCAGAGAAAATCTGTCACACACTAACATATTGCAAGTACTCAAACACAGTGAACATATAAAAGACAGCAAACAACTAACATCAAATAATTGCAGAATCGATTGACTAAAGGGAACTCGAATACAACGCTTCCAGATTTAAGAGAAGTTTTTATTTTATTTTACAATGGTGGTGTCCAGGTCAACTTGTGACACCTCGACTCTTCCCACAAATACTTGCTACTTACCGGTTAACTCTGCCCACCAAGTCTTAGGTGGATGGGAAGAAATCCTCTTCTGATATTTTTATCTTTGTGAGATTTGAGCCTGGGTCCCCTAGGTTTTCACCCACTTTACTGACCACTAAGCAAGTACTTTTTACACACCAATTAAGCTAACTAACCAATGATTCCAGAAAATTAACATCACAAAATGTTTGGGTAATGGCTATAAGCAGTTCTGTAACCAGGAAATTACATAAGGAGATTGGCAAAAAAAATACTACAATATCACACCCGGGATCTGACCTATGACCTAAAGCAATTTTTGAACCCCTTTGCTACTTTACGAGATTTTTCTTTATATTAAGGGCACTCCACAATTTAAATATAAATATTCATTTTCCCCCTTTTCCCACAGTATAATTTTTCTATGAAGGCGATTCAATTGAACCCCTTTCTTCAACTTAGCTCCGCCCTTGGGTATAAGTTAAACTTACTCGTACACAAATTAGTGAGAAAAATAGACTAATCTAACATTTAACTCCTCACTCATTACCACCATAACTTTCAGCTTGGTAGAGTCATTTTACCATTTATAAATCATGAACACAAATTCACAGTTCGTACATCTGAAAAAATCATATATTTTTTTTTCTAATAACGTGCTGCCATCTGGACAAAGACCGACCCGACCCGACACGAAAGGATCAAATGTCATAGCCATCAATCAGATCATAAAACATCAATACAATTCAAAAGAAGCTTAGATCCTTCATATTTCAGATCTCACAACATACGAAAGCAATTATCTCTATTAAATAAATATTATTAATCATCAAATTACTAAAAATTTGAATTTCACAAGCAACAATTAACACACGCATGTATAGATCTAGTTAAATCTGCAGGTAAAAACAGAATTTCATAAAATAAAAGGAAATATTAATTCCAAAAAATTACCTTTAGAATGCTGAGATTAGGAGAAAAGTCTTCCCGATCTGAAAGGAGGAAAATGAGAGAAAAATTTTGACCTGTTTTCTTTTAATTGGTTTCGTAATTTGGACTTTAAAGCTTTATTTATATGTGGAGGACGCCACATCGACAGAACGAATCAGCCATTGACACGTAATCCAGTTCAGCTTGACAAAAATCTGATCTGGGAGTTTAAGAAGTAAATGCAAAAATTAATGAAAAAATCTCACTTTATGCTCATTAATTTCAAACTATTTACCCTTTAATGTCCAGGCCCAAACTATTTACTACTCCTACCTATGGCCCCCAAACTATTTACCCGCACTTCTTCTTCCTCATTTTACCTTCCTCCAATTCTCCGTCTCTTTTACCTTCCGCCATCTCTCCATCTCCATTGTTTGCATATCCAGAAATCATTGAATTCCAAGATACCAGATCTGGTTTCTTTATTTTTCCGAATACTTTCAAAGCTGCTTCACTATCACCACAACTAGAATACATGTCGAGCAGCGCATTGTACAAGGGCAAATCTGGTGCAATCCCGGAAACAATTACTTTAACATGAGTTGCTTCCCCTGCAAGACCATCTCTCAACCTACTACAAGCACTCAACAGCGTTGTATAAGTGAAATTTGTCGGATTAACTCGAGCCGTCAACATGCTGTCAAATAGTTGAAGGCCTTCCATGGTCCTACCATTGTTGGGCTTGAAGCTCAATTTTATTTTTGAAGATTTCTTGTTTGATTCAAAGTGGATGCTGTTAAATATTGCTTATAGTACCTTCTGGAATTTCATACTGAAATTTGATAGCGTTTGGAGCTGATTTGAGGTGATTGAGATCGAAATTTTCAATTGAAAATCGAAGAAGAACACAGCTACAATATACCGCTACGGTATACAATATGCTGTAGGAGTATATAGCTATACCGCAACACTATACTATTATAGTTTACAAAATAGTATACCGCTACAGTATACCAATATACTATAGGAGTATATAGTTATACTGCAACAGTATACTATTATAATATACAATATATTGTTATGATATACTGTAATAATATGCAAGATATTGTAACAATATGCTGTAATAGTATACAATATACTATAATAGTATACTTATTACCCGTAAATTCACTTGTCTTTTCCCTTTTAATTTGTTTTAAGCTTTTACCCAAGCGTGAGGGGCAAACTAAAAATGCAAAAAAAACAAAATAATATAGTATGCTATATGATGTAATGGTATACTTTTACAATTAGGCCCTTTTAGAATTTTAATTTTTTTTTTGACAACTGATATTATTTCAGTTTAATAATTGAATTAAAATTTTTTTAACTCTTTACGTACAATTGTATACCCTGTTGGTATAGCTATATACTATACCGGTATCATATGTTAGTTAATATTTTTTTGGTTGTATAACTACATATAATTGGTACACAATTTGATTTTTCTTTAGTAATAATATAAAAAAAAAGAATAATAAAAAATAGTAAAAACAGTAAATGAAATTAAATTATGAAGAGAAAAAGAATATAAAAAACAGAAGTTAAATAAAATTAGAAAAGGAAAAAAGAAAAAAATAAGAAGAAAACGAGAAAAAAATAAGGAGAAAAGAAAAAAAAAAGAAAAAAGAATAGAAAAGAATAGAAAAGAAGCATAGAAATAAAAAAGAATTGGAGAATAAAGAAAAAATTCCCCACAAAACCTACTATGGGTAGGAAATGTAATTAGTTTATGGGTAGGAAAACAAATGGGTAGACAAGGGTAAATAGTTTTATTTTTGTGGTTAACTGTGTCAAAACCCCAAAATTAATATGAAGAATTAAGGCAAATAGCCGCTCACCCTATCAATTAAATTAATTATAGCCGGTGAATGTATAATATATGCATATTAATGTATTACATATGCATAATTATGTATAATTAATATATAATTTGTGTATATGGCTAGAAAAATAAACAATTATAGTCATAGGATGTGAGTCCCAGAATATTCTTGTTCGAACCAAACAACCACTTATGGCATGTTAAATGACCTCATGAACAATAATTATGGTTTTGCCATGATTGTTCTTCGTTTTTGTCATTTTAGGGTCATAGACAGGAATTCAGGACGATCTTCAATTTTTTGAGTTTTAATGTCTACGCCATCTTCATGAATTCGGGCGACAGGCCCCGGAACTCCTAAAATTTTGTGGGGCCATCAAAAACGGCCTAATGAATAATAGTCATCGCTTCGTGATAGTAGGCTATATAGTTGATATTTACACCTTAATTGATAATGCTTTGTTGTTGTTTTATAAGGTAAATTGCCAACAAAATGCTTTAAATAGTGTTCTTTGGTTTCGCAGGAAATATTATATGTGAGAAAGCAACACGAAGTGTTTGGAGGCGATAATGTGAAGAAAACACCCACTCAAGAAGTACCCGAACACAAAGGAACAGAAGAAAATGGCCTGTACAAAGTCCACCGCGATCGCGGTGCAACGCGGGGAAATAAATCACAAAAACAGAATGGGCAGTGTTCACCGCGGTCCACGCCGCGACCGCGAGGAACTGTTCACGAACTTGGAAATTTGGGGCCAAAGTGTAATCGGGAAACTTTTGTAAAACCCTTATAAGCTGTAGAAACTCGCCCAAGAAAAAAAAGGCTTGTTTTTAGACTACTTTTGGAGGCAAGAACAAGTGTGAGAGATCACCCAAAATATTATAGTTTCTTTATCTCTTTTATTTTTCTTGCAATTTTACATTATGAACAATTAGTAGTTTTCTCTTACTTTGTTATGAGTAGCTAAATCCTTTGTCTAGGGTTTTGATAGAACCTATTGAAGGATGAACTTCTTGATTATGTTAATATAGATTGCCAGTTTAATCTCTATTTGTTCAACTACGTATTTGTTGTAGTTAATTGATAAGATCCTCAATTAGCTGTGCCTATTTAGTGTGCATAACTCGGGAGAGAGTGCATATTTAGGTAGTTGTTGAACAGCATCACTTCCAAGGTATAAGAGGGATCTATAACTGCGGGTTTAAAGGCGGGATTAGGGATAACGAAGCCTTGGGTGCAATCTAAAGTGAGCTGTAATAAACGAAGCCAGCTAGCGTATCTCGGGAGAGTGCGTCTAGTAAATTATTGTGATTACTCGGGAGAGATTTACGGTAAAAAGAGTGTTCATGATTGATAGAGATGTTTTGGTGAATCTATATGAAACATAACCGGAAGGGATTCCATCAATAGGGGAAATCATAGCCTTAGAACCTTCTCATAATTGTTTACAAACCAAGCATAAGTTAGGGAAAATCATAGCCTTAGAACCTTCTCATAATTGTTTACAAACCAAGCATAAGTTAGTTTTCAGCTGTCTATTTAATTTTAGTCTTAGTTATTAGTAATACCATCAACTGTGATTTACAACGTTTGGGAAGTTGATTCCATAGAATTGAGTAAGTCCGACGAAGGTAATTGATAGGTTAATTCCCTGTGGGTTCGACTCTGGGCATAAATACTCAGACTATATTTAAGGCAAGTTTTTAAGGCATTAAATCGGGCCAACCGGAAAAACAACCAACAACCAACAATGCACAATTCGAAACAGTCATGGGAGATCACGAGGCAAAACCAGCTGTACCAATAGTGCCAGAAGTTGCTCTCTATGACTGGGCACAACCCACAGCTGAAAATCTGTCCACAGCGATTGTAGTCCCGCAGATACAGGCTGAGTCATTCCAAATCACGAATAACATGTTGCGCTTGTTGCAGAACAAGGGACTATTTTCGGGGTCACAAGTCGAAGATCCTCAGCAGCACTTGAAAAATTTTCTGTCTATCGGCAAAACCCAAAGGCAGCCAAACGTAACTCCGGAAGTAATCAAGCTGTTATTGTTTCCATTCTCAGTGACAGGAGCTGCCCAGACCTGGCTAAACTCACTTCCCATAAATTCTATAACAACTTGGGATGAATTAGTCAAGCAATTTCATAACAAGTTCCACCACCCAACAAAACTGCTCAACAAATTGATGAAATATTGAGCTTTAAACAGAAACCAATGGAGACACTACATGAGACATGGGAGCGTTTTAAAGGAATGATGGTTGTATGTCCGCACCATGGTATTCCAGATCTGATGTTGGGGTAGCGATTCTACATGGGGTTCTCTGACAGTGTGAAGAATATTGTTGATGCTTCAGCTGGTGGAGCATTTCTGAGCAAAACATGGAGAGACGGCCAGAGTCTTCTTGACAAGATGGCACAGAATTCGGGATGGACATCCAGGAATGCACCTATCACTCCAGTGGTGCACTCAGTGCCTTTCGACCCATCTAATTCTATGGCTGAAAATATGGCCACCTTACTGACACAGATGAGTATACTCACCAAAAAGGTTGAAGAGTTCGGGCAGAAGCAACAGGTACACATCGTGGACACTACCAATGGGGGTTTGTGCACATCTTGCATCAATCAGCCAATTGGTAACCAGTGGAATACAGAACCTGATCATCATCACTATCCGGAAGACAAGAACTATGTGTCTAATTATGGAGGCCAGAGACAGGGTGGACAGAATTGGAGCCAGCAGAATCAGCAGTACAGGCCAGCACAGCCACAGTTCAACACTGGGAACATGGGAGGTATGAGACCTCATAACAATATGACTCCTTACCCAAGGCCACATGGATATAATAATCAGAATCAACAGCAGGGGTATCACCCTCCTCAGCAGCAGCATGGTGAAAGGCAAGAGGATGGGTTTGCTAGACTTGAAGCAATGATGCAGCAGGTTATTGGGTCTAATGCTAAAATTAATGAGAGAGTAGATGCACATGAAGCAGTGATCAAGAATATTGAAATGCAGGTGGGCCAAATTTCGATGTCTCTGAACAATCGTCCTCATGGGACACTACCTGCAGACACACAGATAAATCCAAAAGATCAAGGCCCGAAGCAACTAATGGCAGTGAGTCTACGCAATGGCAGAGATCTGGATGCAGAGCAAGAAAGGGCTCGAGAGAATAGACAGGCTGAGACACTCATACCAGTGCCCATTGAGCTGGATGAGTCAACGAAACTGACAGAGGTGACAGTCCAGCCT